AATTTGACCAAACTGAAGATATCTTGGGTCAACAAATTCTCCTACCACATGAAGATGATGGATTCCTTCAAACCTAGGCAGAGACCAAACTCTGGTCCCTTATTTCTTTCTCTTGCTAACGGGTCATCTGATTTCCACCTAGACCAGAATTTTTGGGACGCCCAGGAACATTCACATTCTAAATGGGAATTCTGACACTGGCAGTGGGTTGAATTTTCAAAAGCACCCAAGTAACTGACAAGTATGTGTGTACCATGGCCTTTTAACTTAGCAGAGCAGTTATGGAAGGAGGAGACCACGGTTTTCAAAAGTGGCCAATATTTCAGGGGCCCAACGTGAGACCTGCTTTCCAAGCTGTCTCAAGGTGAGCAATCAGAATCACTAGTACCTTTCAGCAATCTTGGCTACACTGGCCAAAGCAGGGCATGAACTGTCAGCTACACTTCTAGCTGTAGGGTCTTTCACTGGTGAAGATTTAGGAGGCAGAAACCCAGCTGGAGGAGTTACACTGAGCAAATTCAGGATTTGGAAGTCAGAAAAATTCTGGAAGCCCAGTTGTGATTTTAGTCAAACGTATGACGACTCCACTTACAGGATGTAAGAGAGAGATGGAGGGGAAGCTTTAAACCAGCATTTCATGCTCAGGCAGGCCCCACTTTCTCTCTCTCTCCATTTTAGTTTGGAAATCTCTTTGATTTAGCTGCATGTCAGAGGAATCTGACAACTCTGTATTGATTGCTTTTTCATTTAAATTCATTTGCTAAACTCACTGCACTGGAGAATCCATGGCTTAGAGAGGCATAGAAGCCAGTTCAAAATAACAAAACCTAAGTCACTGACTCAGTTTGGTCATGCTCATGTTCAGAACTGAACTAAATGAAAACGTGTTTTTAGGGGGGGAGGGGGGAGAAGAGAGCTGTCTGGAGGTGGTGCCACTGTGACCACACTCTACTGTGGCAGTCTCCAGCAAATGGGGGTTTGTACAGGATTATTTTGCCTCGAGGTAGGAGCTAGTCTCTAGTGCTTATAGGGAGGTTCCAGTTCTCTTCCTTTAGCCTTCATGTAAACAATATGCACACATACTGGAAATAGAGAATGTAATCCTATAAATCACTTGTTGGGTACTTCTCTTTCTAGACTTCAATGACTTTGTTTTTCTTTGCGGATCAGGATAGTAAACAAAAGATCTATTCTCTAACTCTCCTTTTCATCCATAGAGATCTGACCTTTGGCTGACAGATGCACTTATTCATGCACTGAGGCTAGAGCATTTATTTTTACACTAAGATTGGATCTAACATTGATTATAAAACTCTAAACTTGTGCTATTCAGTCCCTGAACACTTTCAATAACTTGCACGATAGGTAACACTGGACAAATCCATCTATTTTTTTCAGTAACTTGCTCTATTAAAAAATTGCTGAGACATAAACTTCTGAATAAAGTACATGAGATCCCTGTGGCTTAATTATAGAATCCATTACAAAATAAAATATTTCTCCTAGTTCATGTAAAGGACACTCTGATGTTGAAACTTTTCCTGAATATTACATTGTAAATAGTGTAATTTGAAGTAGGAAGTAACTTGGCAATAACCTTAGTTGTGTATATTGTAAAAAGTGTAATGTGAATACTCCAAATGGTGTTTTAATTTGGGGGCAGAGTAACTGCACACTGAATTTTAAAATAGGGTATGTTTACTCACAGCATCTATAAAGCAACCTGCAAAGGCAAAGTAAATAGAATGCTCTTTGTATGTTAAGTTGCCTCATTACCTATGATGCTGTATCTACATTACTTCTCTGTGTTGTGGTTTGTATGCCAGCTGCTGTTAATTGTAGAGAGCAGTGATATTTGCACTGTAACCTTGGTTCACCTGCCACTGAATGTAACCTGGCACTGCTGCATTCTTGGTATGTAAAGCCCTCACATGTTTCATTTGCTCCCAACAAAGTACAATAAAAAGCTTCTCTCTGCAAACAGGATCTGTGTTGCTGTGACTGATTGGTGTGTCCAACTCTGTTAGTAAACCTTGCTGAACTGCAGTGTAGGTCTAATTTCAAATGGGAAACTATTTTTGCTTTTTAGAGCATGAAGCGTGGGAGACTAAAACAAGGAAGAGGCCAGTCTCCTTTGAATAGTGAGGCCATTGTCTGGGCAGACAGGTGTGACGCAGCTTTTCAGAGGCTGCTGGCAGCCTCCTTGCCTTGGGGATGGGAGCACGGTACAGAATGAGTGTGGATTGTAATGCCTTTGCAAGGGAAACACACTGTTGTGTGCGTGTGACTGAATCCAACACAAACTAGCCACAGGGGCTCTCTGAAGATTTTCACAAATTATAGGAGTACTTGTGGCACCTTAGAGACTAACAAATTTATTAGAGCATAAGCTTTCG